AGAATTATATGAAATGGATGAATAATATTTAGAAATAATATGCATATAGTAATAATTATTTTAAATTTATAGTTGTGTTCTTCAGATAGAAAACAGTAAGATGAAACTGATTTATATATATATATTTTAATATTTTTGTATCATTTTTAATTTTTAGTTAATTAAATCTTGAACGGTATACATAACTTAACTAGTTGTTATACTTCAACGTGAATATTGAATTTGATTAGTATACGTCAATTGTAGGACATTATTTAAAAACATGTTTAAATTAATTACGTAAACGTTCACAATTTGATTTGTATACGTCAATTGTAGGATATTATTTCAAAACATATTTAAAATTAATTTCGTAAAAGTTCATCATTACAATATTTTCTATTCTATTTTCCAAATTCATTATTTAATAATCTTCCAATTATATTCAATCTCCAATTTAAACAAAATAACATTAATATTGCTTACCGGAATCACAATAAATTGCAGTTAAATGACCCCGCATTTGCCAACCCTAAGTACAAACCCCAAACATCATTCCATCCAATTTACTAGTACAACCCAATTTCTCATATTCACCACATGTAACACATTTTTCACCATATCCTTAATCCACATACATTTTGCACACAACAAAATATCCACAGGGACGGCGATTTTCGAGCAAACCTTAGCTGCCGAAAATGACATGTCCGAACTCGTTTGTTCGTCACCTTAGCTTTACCACGGAGAGAAGAGAACCACCTACTTGAATCACCCATTGCTTTGTTTTCCATAATAGATGTATGCCTAATAATTAGAGTATACTAGAAAACCTCTACGTCAGTTTTTTCTGTCTGAAACTCGGATTTACTATGTCTGATACTCGAGAACAGCTTCCCCTGCAAAGTGCAGAGAAAATTCAGTCATCACCAAAGCACGTTTTCACCTATATTGGTTGAATAAGCAGGCTACGATTATTTTTAAGATTGAGTTTTTTTTTTATGATCTCGAAAGAACTATTAACAAATCGGAAGTGCCAGCTTATGATGTAAAAAATGTCTACAGAATGATAGTCTGAAGTTTTCTCACCATGCATTTTCTTGATAAACCGTTCAAACTCGATGAGGTTTTGTCTGTCCATCAAGAGTGGGCTGAGCCTCAGATATGTAAAAGCAGAAAAATGCCTCCCGTCAGGATCACCTATGGGCTTTGCCTTCTCCAATAAATAATTAAAACCTTCTCGGTCGTGACAAGGGAAAGAATTTACACTGGCAACAGGTATGCAAGCATCCCAAGCAGCGTTCAGAACCTAAATTGGGACGAGCGGTTATTATGGGAATCGGACAGCAGCATATATTATTCTTAAATACGTGACAATAACTGAGGTTGACAAGGAACCTGCTATTCTACGATACAAATATTTAAGATTGATTAAGAACTACTCTTGAAAGAAGAAGAAAAAAAAAAAAAATCATGCCCCTCAGTGTTTTCCCCTTTCCGAAACCATACCTTCAATAAGACGCGTTTTGTAACATATTATACAAACTCAAGGGGATAATTTAAATTTTGTCAGTTAACCAGGGTTTCATAAGCAAAACTTCAATTTCGTCTTTTGACAATTTGTGAGTAAAGAAATATTCTTTGACAAAACCAAGTTACAGATGCTTACTTGCCAAGCTAATCCCTCGGGATCGGACAGCGACTCAGAGAAGTCCATCTGATTATCTATAATGCTCATTTCGGAACATGCAAAGCATAGAGCAGCCCCATGCCTCTTTAGCATTGACATTATTGCAGCATAACCGTCACGATTGCTGGAGTTATAAATTCCAGCAGTCAATTCAGCAGCATGACTAGATGTCTTGTACCACCAATTGATGCTCGCAAGCTGCTCAAATCAAGAAAAGGCAAAGTTTCAAATATTGTAGGGTCGTATAGAAATTCAAATTTCTGTAGAGTGCATCGTCTTTGACAGTGGTGAAAAGTAATACCTTTCCAAATTATCTAGTGGGAATCCATATTGGAGGAATAGAAGAGAATAGTGGTCATTATCTTTAACCACAACCGAAAAAAAAATACCAAGAGATGCACATTGTCTTATCTTTCAAATTACAAATATACCCTCTGATACTTGTTTCGGTTTTACAAACTGCATGGCCAACAGAGGTATTTGTAAGTTTGAAAGATGATTGAGATTTCTGCATTAAAGGCCAAGAATTGAAAAGTGTTGAACTAAATAAAGTCACCTTTGCAGCAATACGAGTTCCTTCAAAAACTAACTTGGCCAAAGAAAGCACTCGATCTCCATGGTCGACTAAAGCTTGAGAATACCAGCTGAGAAAAAACCTGCCGTGATAGCCGTCATAATCACCCCCGTCACAGAAAAATCCTGTCTCGTGTGGCCTTGAATTGTATGAACCAGTATTTTCAGGTCCTCGTGCCCAGAAAGAGTGTCCTTTTATTTCTGCAGCCTTGCGCAGGCTCTTCAACATATATTGATCATAGCACTGCAAAGGAAAGAGCAACGTGGATTACACAGTCGAATGTTCGACAGTAAATGTTCCTCACAGAAGTACTACCACCTGAATAAAGCCCAACACTTAATTAATTGACAATAAGTGATCTCAATAATTTGGACAAAAAATTCCCTCAGTTCTTAATAAAACCTTAGGAACACACACACACACACGAACCAAATTTATTGTGTATTTAGACTGTGTGCACGTGCAAAGGGGTTCTTACAAGTTACAAGTGAGGCTTCTAAACAAATAGATTACCTGAAATTCACCAATACCCGGGTATCTCCAACCATGTTTCACAGGATTGCTAGGATATCTCAGCTCACCACAAGGACCAAGACCAACTACGATCATAGATATAACACCACCCTCAAAAAACTCATCAAATTCGACCCGAAAGCTTCTCATGCAATCAAAGTACACCTACAACAGTTGTCCAAATATTAAACAGTTGAACAATAATTCTGCAAGGATAAAGTATACCATGAAATATGATCTAAAATAATCACAACAAAAACGGTGACAGTACTGGCACAGGAAGTCTTTCGATGGTGGTATCCGACTTTGCTAAAACAACATAAATACTAAAACAACATAAATTGTAGTGGTTCGGCCAAAATTAATGGCTACGAGAGAGCTAAATTTCCAAATCCAAGGCTCTCGAAAGTCGCTATCAGCCCAAGATCAAAATTGTTGGAAGTTAAGTTGTGAGTGGTCACTCATCGATTAATTACGGAAAAAATTAGCCTAGTTTATAAGTCTAATTAGCCACTCCTATCACCTATTGGTTTTGGGGTGAAACCTCTATTAGATGATGTCTAGGCTCGCCTTCTATTTGGGTGTCATTCAACTGCGTGGGGCCACATCACTTCCCCCGAATATATAAATCTAATCCGGTATCAGAGACTGCTCTGGGACCTGTGATTATCGAAGGACACACAAGTCACAAGTGAGGGAATATGTTGGAATGTTCACTTATGTCAACATTGATTAATTAGAGAAAATTAGACTAGTTTATAAACCTTGCGAGCCACTCCTATCAACAATTGGTTTTGGGACGGAACCTCACTCAAGTGAGGTCTAGGCTTGTCCTCTAATTGGATGCATTTCAACTCTGTGGAACTCCACCACACCACTTCCCCCACAATGTATAATTCTAATGAAAAATTACCACAAACTATTGTAAATCTAACGTTTGCGAACGCGTCTCCATATCCCCTCAATTTGTAATTGATTCAAGATATACACAGCAAAACCGATCAACAAAAAAAAAGGACGTACACAGCAAATAACATGGCCAGAACAGTCGTGCACAACAAGCATTTTTATGAGAGGTAACTGAAACATGAATAGAGGTTCATATAACAGTTAAATTACCTCTACAGCTGTTCGGCCCCTCAAAACTCTTTCCTTGTCAACTCCCCAAGACAGGCACTCTGTGTCCCGCCTTCCTGATTTATCTGTGAAAAGGATGTCCGGATTGTTTCGACTGATTTCGGCCACCCAGTGAGGCAGGGGAATGCACACATCATCCCCAACATTACCACCACATTCATGGAAGGACAGTACAACCTGTTTCCACTTTAAATCTTTACCACCACATGTTTGGAGGAAAAATAGTGAAAGGAACAGCAGGTCAGTCAAATTACAATTTTCTTACCCACTCTTGATAACGATGCAATAGCCTATTCTCTAGTAACTTGTGATTGAACATGCATTCGCTGAAAATTTTTCCTCTCACTAGAGAAGTGTTTGGAATAAACTTTTAAAGAAGAAAATAAATAATTTGACAAGTCTGATTGGATGTAAGATGAAAGTGTAATGATTATAATATAATGAGTGGTAGTTACAAACATGTGAGTGGATGAATAGTAAATTTTATATAAAAATGTGTAGTAAACTAGTGATGATTAAGTTTTATTTCAAATTGCATTGCTAAAATTAAGGAGGGAAAGGTGAGACAAGTAAATAGCCTGTTTTTTAAGAAGTTCTCTAGTACGATAATAGTTCAAAATTTGGGAATTGCTCAGACGGGGGCAATCAAAGATTTTTTTTATTTTTTTTTTTTTTCTTTTTTCTTGCAAGATTCCTGGATATGTTTCATCAGTAGAATTATACAGTCTAAGGAATCAAAAAATTAACTGTTGCGATCGAGGACTAAAAGATGGGCTGAGGAACCCTTGAAATACTCTCACCCGATCGAGAATGCATAATCTACTAGCAGAATCTCCAAAGAAATTTGCAAGAGAGTTAATCAAGAAAAATAAACATAAAAAAAACTACAATATAGCAACCTAACGAGAGGTAGTTGAGAGTTTCTAACATTTTGATTTATCTAATCTTAGATGAAGCCGTATTAAGTACAGTGAAGCAAAAAATAGAAGGGATACTTTACAAAAAGAAATCACTAAATTATAAGTAGTCAATGATATACAAGGTCACCTGGACTTTCATTTTCATCTCCCTTACAATCTGAAATAGCCTTATGTAGCCATTCCAGTTATACTCCTGAGGTTCATGTGCTTCAACCACACCCCACCAGCAATCAACCATAACACCATCAACATTAATTGATTTTAAGATTCTCAAATGCTCTAATAAACCATCTGGATCAACAAGCTCACACTTCATATTGACAACACCTGACTGAAACCAAATCAATTAAAACTATTATCTTTATCACAAGCCAAGAAACAAACAACAAACACGTCTAAATTTGGTGAAGTAGAGATAGCTCCAAGCGGAAAAAAAAACTGGGACATATTAGAATACTCGGAAAACTCACCGGCAGCATAACATAAACCGGAACGTAAGGTGTCCCAAAAAAATCTCGCTCGTGTAGTTTTGTTGCTGGTGGCATGTCAACCACCTTCAAAAAGGAAAATAAAACAAAACTAATCAGATAGCTGAATTGTAACATACAGGCTTGGAGCACGAAGCATGCGAATGATTATTGAGATCAAGAAGAAATATTGAAAGCCAAGCGTAGTAATCTCGATCTAGGAAAGCCAAAAGTCTTGCCTGCCTGTTGTCGATTGAATCAATGGAGCCACCAAGAAGAGGATCATTCTGCAGGTCTCCGTCCCCAATCATTGCGGATGTCTGAGATCTGGCACTCGACGAGCCATCATAAGGAGATGAAGCAGGCACAAAAACACCTTTCATGTGAGATGAACCATAATCGACTGTATTCATGTACCCTGAGGAAATGCCCCTCAAGGCAGTAGGAGATGTTGTGTGTGGTGCTGGAATTTGTGGAGATGATGATTGCACTGCCGTGTTTGGTGCACCAGTGATAGGTCGTGTTCCCTGTAGAATAGGAAGAAAATCTTCTGTGAACACAAAGATACAAGACTGTTGGCATTTCTACTTTGATCCCAGGCTACACAGACACGGTTTTTCAGTTGAAAGTAACCCTGGCTGGAGATTTATGTAGTTTAGGGTAAGACTCCGCTGAAAAGTTCCCGAAATTGCATACACTACAGATACAACAGTTCTTGATGACAAACAAACATGCCACGGATAGCTTTAGATGTGAAAATTGAGGTTACTGACAAAAAATACGATAGTCTTAACTCTTAAGAAACATTAAGGCAACCTCTGGAACTTCGAGTTGCATCAACAGTTATGTTTGTCTAACAACTTGTGGACCCAAAACTTATTTCAGACTTTTCTGAGTGCAGTTTCTGTCTGACAAGCACAGGACAAACCGAAAAAGTACAAGTGACATGACATGATACAGAAATAAACACTAAAAAAAGGAAAACGAAACATATGAAAAAAATGACGGAAAACATTACTCAATGCTGAATCACCAAGAAGAAAGAAGTTATACAAAAACCAAAGTGATCTGTAGGGTACCTGTGATCTGGAAGGAAAGGTGGTCCCATCTGGAAGAACAACCCAACCAGCTTCCCTAGCCAAAGCAGCAATTACATCGTTAATGTCAGCTCTAACTCTAAGATTATAGTTGCCATGCCTACGGAGCCCCGCCAAAATCTTGGCAGTGATCGCCCGCCGCTGTCTCTCCCTTAGCTTTGTTCTTTCTTTCTCTTCTTGTGGCCGACACCTCCGGGTCCCACCTACCTGTGGAGTAGGCTGATCTTGATATTGCTGGTGATGCACATACCTGTTGGTACCACCAGCTGTTGGTAAAATGCCTACATCCAAGCTGTTAATAGAAGTAGTTCTCATGTTCTTTTCTTCATCATCGTCTTCATCATCGTCATCTTCCTCCTTCATCTCCATACCCATGTCCTCATCATCTTCCTCGCTGGGGCCAAATTTATGCATTTCTGTCGACATAGAAAGAAAAAAAAAAGGTTCCCAGCTTTCTAGGAATGCGATTTTATTTTCTCCTCTATGAGGCGTAGATCTTGCTGCATTTGATTGGCCTGATGGAGTATCCAAGTATTATGTCTGGAATACCGACAATTAAATGCATGCTTTCCACAGGAAAAGGGATGTCTAGGACTGTGTTAGTGATGAGGTACTCCTACTGGCGAGCTCAACAATGTATGTCTGGCACAGATACAGGAAGCAAGGTTCAGATACTCGTGAAGAAAATGCCAATGGACACACATAAATATATGCTCCACTGTATCATGAAAAAAGAAGCTCTTTTGTTGTATGTTCAAAGGAGATTCTTGAACTATATATGGTGGATAGAAAATAAAATTCGAAATTCATTGTGTTCACTGGCATTGACTGATTTAGGACTTCAAATCTCTCTCTCTCTCTCTCTCTCTCTCTCTCTCTCTCTAAGTGAAATTCCATCACTGTAGCATTTACATTCGCACATGTCCAAATATTCTACTTGCTACAACACAAAAGAGAGATAACAGTCCATATGGAAGTCATCTTACTGAACAAATAAGCAGGTAGCATCAGAGATGTAGAGTGTACAATCTCGAGCTACAGTGTACACAATGCACTAAAAAATACCTAATTCACAAAAAAAAAAAAA